CCCCCGCTTTGCACTGTGGAAAGGATGTGGCCAGACCTTGGCAAAAGGCTACGATTAGGGAGGGGTTTAAACCCTGACTCTGGCTGCACAGTCCCCAGCCAGGGTGTGCCTGGAGGGAAAGAGGGAAGTGGCCATTGTCAGGCTTTTCCCCCACTCACTGCTGAAGGGGTGAGGAGTGATGCCAGACCCTGGCCACACCTAGCACTCTGTGGCAAAGGGGAGGTGCGGGAGGTGGGGAGAGGGAAGAGCTGCTTGTGTGGACTACATGCATCTGTATTATCCTGCTAGCTAGTGCTTCATATTTGCCTAAATCTCAAACTGACAGTACTACCAGGTCCCATTTGTTGCAAACCAGGTCATTTCTTATACCTCTGTCTGTCCCCTGTTGAAGACTGACAGATTGTAGGACGGGGAAGCTGCATTCTAACCAGGCTCAATAATTGATTTGTAGAAGCAATCACCAGCATTAATTGCTGCATAGTGACCCTTCATTTGATATAAGGGTTTCAAGGTCAGAGATGCATTTGGATGACTTTGAAGCAAACCAGTAGGGAGCTTAGCAGAACACAAAACATATCAGCTCATCAAGAAAACAAAAGCATCTCTCTCATTAGTTCAAGATCTTCTTACCTCAGGGTACAGACACTTTGCAAGGCATTTGCAAGCCACTGGCTTCTTGCTCAAGAAGAAAGGAGGGAGGGCTGCTGGGTGACAGACATTACCAGCTGACCTGCTGATTAGTTCCAGAAAGCTGTTAGTTGGCACTGTTCTGTCTGCCTTTGTTCCAGTGAAATCGGAGAGACAGACATCTCTCAGCATTAGCTAGCTTGGGGGTGGTGTGGCCAGATGCTGACTGAGGTCCATGCCACTGGGGTCCCTGCTGTGGGAGAGGGGATGGGGGGGAATCCCTGCAGATGCTGCTGTGCAGCTGCCAGGCAGATCCTGGCTGCACTCTCCTGCTCCCTTCTTAGCCAGCTGTAGCTCTGGCTAGGGAGGAGAGGGGTGGGGCTGGCCCCACTCTCTGGAGCAGACAGCCCAGCCTAGGGTTGAAAAGCATGCTGGGGGACTCTGATTTCATTTAAACCAGGAAGGGGTCTGGGACAGAAGTTCCATAAACTGGTTTGACCCAAATAAGTTAAGTCTGATATACTACATTCAACCAGGTTTATATCAAGTCAGTTTTGACCATTTTGAAACTGGTTTATGTGCACTGAACTTATGTTCTGTTCCTGGTTTAAACCAGTTACTGTTCACTTAAACCAGTTTATGTGCAATTTCTGTCCCTAGCCAAAGTCTTATAGATTTATAGATTGTAGAGTCGGAAGGGACCCTGAAGGATCATCATGTCGGACCCCCTGCCCTGGCAGGAAAAGGACCGAGGTCAGACGACCCCAGCCAGGTGTCTATCTTGCCTCCTCTTGAAGACCACCAAGTTAGGTGATAGTACCACCTCTCTTGGCAGCCCGTTCCAGATTCTGGCCACCCTTACTGTAAAAAATTTCTTCCTAATATCTAACCTGAATCTACTCCCCACTAGTTTGTACCCATTATTCCTAGTTACTCCTAGTCCCAAGCTATCTTATATGCACATACATGCAGTTTAGTGTCAGGGTCATAACCCTAGCAAGGCTTTCTATGAATAAAAGTCTTAGATCAGCTTGTGCTCTGTAGTAATTTGATCATAAGCTCCACCAGGCCTGATTCCAGGAAAGACGGAATCATCCTTTCTAAAGGAAGTGGTGAGAATTCAGTCTTCAGTTTTATTCCTTCCAGCATCAGTCTGCTTTACCATGCCATGGAAGAATTCCTTCCTGTGGCATAAGGAAATAGTTTGGTCACTTATTCCCAGTCTCCACCTGCTTTTTAAGCCCAAGCAGATGGAGAGGGTGATCTTTTCTGGGGTGAAAGGAATGTGGCCACAGAGAGTCCATTTCACTTTGGAACTTCGCAATATTGCTGATCATTCTGCATGGTGGACCAACAGAAGTCAGCCTTATGCTCAACATACCCCTTCCAATAAATAGGTCACTATATTTCTGTCCTCCAGGGTGGCATGGGATACTCGGAGTGACCAAAAAGTGCACTAACCCATTGGAAAGGTGCAGTTCCTGCAAATTCTGACCCATCTCATGTGATCTTACCTATAGTCCTGTTGCAGAGGGTGACAACAGTAGAACCCTCCTGCAAATAAGTGGCCTTCAGCACCTGGAGCAGAGACAAGTAGAGCTCTCTCTGCACAGCATCTGACTCATCAATCTCCAGAAGCCTTTCTGTAGCCAGCCAAAACTTGATCAGTTCTTCCCCTGTGGATCAGATTCAGAGCAGCGTGGTTGAATTGGAAGTGGGCAGGGGGGAAAGAGAAAATGGAGGGAGGGTGTTGGACAGGCAGGTTGAGAGAGAGTAGAGGCCATATCTACACGTGCTTAACTGTGGAATAGACTAATTAGCTGCAGAATAAAATGTCGCTGTCTATATATTAGATGGTATTAGGCTGCAATAAACTAATTAACACTGCAGTAAGATAGTACTGTCCATATACCCTGGGGACAGTCCTATCTTACCCTGGGATGCCCAGCCAGCTGGAGATCAGACTCCTGCCTGCTGCCTAGACACATGGCTCTGCACTTGCAATGTCCTTGTGTCCAGGCAGCCCTTCTGCCACCCAACACTGCTACCTGGAGCCCAGGGCTGAGTGGTTCTGGTGTAAACTGCTCCACACCAGCTCAAATTGCTGCTGTCTCAGGCTCACATGTAGATGTCGTGCATGGGAGTAGCTTCTGGCTCAAGATGCTCCAGAGTTTATTGCTTCAAATTAATTGCACATGTAGATGCACCCTCTGAAAGCACTGCTGATGAGAGACTACAGCTGGTATTTTAAAGCAGAGGAAAGAAAAGACCTTCTAGCAATGAGCAGAGTAAAGCACAGAGATG